ATAAAAAAATATACGCTGTTATATTGATTTATGTGTAGGTTATAATGTTTAATGCGTTGCATTTGTTCCAGTTGGCGATATTTTTCTCTATATTATTGGGGGGGGTGGGGGCGGGGGGACATCTGGAAAGGGGAGGGTGGGAGAGTAGCTCTGAAACCAGGAGGTGGGAGTTGGGGCCGGCACCTCTCAGTCCTCGATTAGGACATCTAAAGCAGGACGGACAGCAAAGGGGGATCCCCAAAACAGATGCTCAGGTCCCCTACTGGGGCTGAGGGCCCGGACCCGCGACAGCTCCAATGCTATTGGGACACCCCCAAGATATTAGGGCAGAAGAGAAGTGAAAGGCTTGGGGATCGCCGCTGTTCCTCCTCCCTGGGCCCCCTCCTCGCTGTCGCCCCAGCTGCACCCCCAGCACAGAGGGGTGTGAGTGAAAGTGGAGGAAGGTAAGAGGGGGGACCCCCTGCGCTTGTCCGCGAGACACTGCAACCCAGAGACCCCGCGCCCAGCAGCAGGAGCAGCGTCAGCGCTTGGAGCTCGCACCCTGAGATGTGGAGGGTCCGGGAGGAGGGGAGCGGGGCCGGAGCCCGGATCGCGGCACGTACCACGCAGAGACACATGGAGGCGAATCTGTTCCGAGCCGACATGGAGAAGGGGAGGGGGGCGGAGGGGAGGGGGCGGGCGGGAGAGCAAGGGTCCCAGGGTTGGGGAGGGGGAGGGGCAGAGGGGCGGGGGCTGCGGCGGCGGCGGCTACTGGAGGCTGCGGCCGCTGGTGGGGAGGGTGGGGGCCAGCGCCTGCGCAGTGCGGAGGAGCGTCACGATGGGAGAGAGGGTGCGGGGAGACCCTCCGGGCCGTCAACTTTCCCGGCTCCAGCTGTTCCCGGCGGACTTGCCCGTCCACGGCCTGCTCCCTCCACAAAGAGAGACGCTCCTAACATGCGCCCATCCATCGTCTGGTTCTCCGGGCCCCTTCTTCTGCCTCATCGCGCACCCCGACAATCACCAGGCCCCTAACTATTCCAAAGCCTCGCTAGACCGCTCGTCACTGCCGGGCTGTCAGGGTGCAGGGAAGGAAGCAGCATTTATCTCACCTTAGGACCCCCAAGGGGTCTATATTGTCTCCCACAAGCCCCGCCCCCCACGTCCCCAAAGACTGTTCATGTGGACAGCATCCCGGCAGCAAAGACAGCTCCTATTCTCACCGGTAGTCCAGCCCCGCCTGAGAGCCAGGAGGTGCTTTTCAAGAGTTTAAGGACCACAGATCCTCGTCTGCCCTCAAACTGATGTTCCCTTAAATCACCCCTTTCAAAATCATATGTATCCCTCCATCCACTGACAGAAATCTTGAAATTAATGCAAATATTACCCTTGCTCTAACGTAAACATCCAAACAAGCAGTTCTCAAATTCCTTTGTCGTCCCCTGTCCAAATACCCAAATCTAATAGAATACTCAGGCTTTTCTGATATACCAGTCCTTAATACCGCCAGACCCCAATTTTAGGTAATACTTCGTGTATCTTAAAGCTGACGCTCCAAATTAAATGGAAACCTTTTCCATTTACCCCCAAACCCTTAAGTTAAGAGGTATTTTTCTATTCTTTTTCTTTACCCCGCAGTTTCATACATTATTCATCCCCTCCATGATTCCGAGTTCCAACTGCGTTGGAAGATTGCTCCCAAATGTATTAATCTGTCCCAGACACCAGCCTCGAAAAATATTCACTAAAGTAAGATATGGTCCAATTTGCAGTGACCCGCAAATTTTCCAGAACACCCCAAACCGACTGCCCAACGGCCTGAAAGCGTCTCTCCCAAATATTCTCCCAGTGAACGCCCGCCTTTCTTTCCCACTCAAAGCCCAGTGAGCAGTCTCCCCAAATCTGCTCCTCTGGCTTCTCTAAAGGCTCACACGTGGCATGAAGCACGGCCTTCCCGAGAATCTCGCCCATGCCTCCTCTTTCCTGTGGACCCGAGTCTGTTAGATGCGCCCCCAAGATGACCCCCAATGCCCTAGTTTCATATGTGGATAGATAGATGCTTGGATCCTCAAAGGAAACCAGTGCCGAAGGGGCTGGACTCAAAATTTCTTCAAGAATGGAAAAATCACAGTTCTCCACTAGTGGGCGCTATGACCCAAGACCCCCACCCCCCATTTCCTTTTTCCCTCCATTTTCCGTTTCCCGGTTGCCTAGCAACGCAGCTATCAAGGACTTTGCTGTCGCCTAGTAACCGTCTCCTTGGAACATAGAGCTGAGGTAGGAGGTTGTGCTCTAATGAAATCTGAACAGGCCTCCATCTTAGGAAAATTGAGACGTCAGATGGCCCAACCCCCGGATTCTCCTTTCCAAAGACCCTCGCGCCCCGCAGTTACTCAGACAAGCCCCTCAAACCCCCCCGTCTCATTTTGGCACATGGGACACGCCACGCCCCTGCCAGGTCAGCTCCGCCCTCATTCAGTCCAGTTCCCCAGCCCTAAGGCCCCGCCCCTTTCCGAGGGCTGTAGCCCGCCAACCTGGAGAGTAAGCCAGACCTCGCCCACCTGCCTCCAGGAGACCACGCCTCCATCCACTCCCCGCCCATTTGCTCCCCGGCCTCCCCCGTACTGTCCTTTCGCCACGCCCCTGTCGGCCAATGAATGAGGCCGCTGGCCACACTGCCCCGCCCCCGTCCTCTTAGCTTTGCCCAATAAGGACCACCCGGAGGGATTAACCGCTTCGCCTCCGAGGGTTCAAATACCCCTGGTCTTTCCCCACCATCCCCTTCCCCCGCAGTTCTGCTCCGCCCTCCGCCACCCGCGCCCGGCCCTCCAGTCCGCCACGCAACTTCAGTCGTCGCCGGTTACCATGGCAACGGCGGCAGCAGTGCGGAGAGAAGGGGGAGGGACGGGGGCGGAGTGGGAGAAAGAGATGCTCAGAGATGGAGAGACTCCTGCGGGGAGAGGCACAGAGTAAGAATAAGTGATAGCTATAAAAGCAGAGTTAGCACAAAGCACAGGGCCCGGCACATGGTAGATATTCAATCCATGTTCCTTAAATTCCTGCACCAAGTGTCTAAATATAGGTGATGGAAGATGGAGTACTCTCAGGCGGAGCTGGGGAGCTCCACGACCCGAGCACCCGCTACCCACATAGCATTTTGGGGGGGACAAGAGCCATGTGCCCCCTGCTGGTTCCTCCAGGGCTACCCTCCGCTGCCCTGGATAGAGAGGAACCACAACTCCCAACAGCCCCATGGCAGCAATCCCCTAACACTGAGGGATCGTGTGCCTCAAGGCCTTATGGGAGTTGGAGTCCCCGCCATCCCGCAACTGACAAGTTTTCAGGCCAAGGAATGTGGCAAGCCTGAGTCTCCACGCCTCTGTAAAAGCCCAAATGCATCATCCTCTCTGTACAAGGCTCCTTTCTTCAGGGGAGTTCAACCCTGGGCTCCATGGAAGAAGTGGGAGTCTGGAAGGAACACGCATAAGCACCCCCTCCCAGAAGAGCTGCCAGTGCTAGGGAGCCCCTCACCCTCGCTCACACATGTGCACACGTGTTGGAAGCAAAGCCCACACATTCCAGCTGGCTTTCTGTGTACACCTGCACACGGAACCACAGCCTGGGAGCCTAAGTCTCAGAAGCAGGCTGGGGCGGGAGACAGGAGGAGCTGAGGACCAGAGGATGTTAGAGAGAGCAGGCCAGAGAGACTGAGGCCCCCAAAATCTCCTGAAACCACAGGGGATGGGAGAGGGGTGCAAAGCAGCAGCGGGGGGAGAAAGGTCTCAGTGAGAGGGACAAGCAAGCAGCCTTGGAGACATGAAGGTCCTCAGCCCCCAATCTCTTCCGTCCATGCTCACACATGTGTAAATTTGTGACAGGGAACATGTGTGTCCTCAGCTCCCTCCCCTGAAAAGCTGCAGTTCCCACTAAATATAACCCCCTCCCCAGCTTCTGACTCACCAGACCCCGCCTTCCCGGCCCCCACTTCCTGTCCCACCCCCCAGCCCCCAGCTGCCTGCCACCAGCCCATGCCTCCCTCCACACACAAGGCATCCAGCTCTCCAGTCCAGAGTCTCACAGCCAAGACCTAGGTATTCTGTACCCACCAGGAGCTTGCTGTGCTCCCCATCGTCATCTCCTGCCTTTCCACACTCCAACCACAGGGACACCTTGTACAGATCCTCACTGCTGCCAGCCCTGCCCTCCTCCTACTCCTTTTCACCCCCGTCACCTTAAATCCAGGTATTTTCCCGCACCGTGAGCCCAAGTGTCAGAGGTAACAGAAACATTGCCCTCCATCGAATCTCCCTTTTACTCAACCAGGAGCAGATACAGTGTGGGAGGAGAGGGAGATATTGGGCACCCACCTTGCCCACCCCCAAATTTTGCACCACCCATCTGGCCCCCCTCCTCAAATCCCCTTTCTTCCAAAACCTCTCCTCCCCCTCCTCCTCCTCAGGAACCCGCAACCTCAGCTGCTGTAACCTGTGTCTCCCATGGGAGTACCCCAGAGCCTAACCTGACTTGGTCCATTCCCTCAGGTGATCCTTGACAGGCCTCAGCCCTCTGACAACTCCCAACTCTCCCCATCCCACATGATCATGATCGAACCCTAAATTAACAGTTCCCTCTAATTGAGAAAGCACTCCCAAATGTATCTACCAGAAGACGCTGTTTCTATAGCCTGAAGGCCCACCCCTTCTCACCAGCTGACACCCCCAGACCAGTCAGGCATTCACAACCAATAACCTTCTACCCATACCGAAAGCCCCCTTAAATCAGTCAGGGCACCCAGAGGCCAGCTTGTCCCCCAGGAGGAAAGAGAATCCCCCCACATAGTCCACCTTCTAACATACAGGAACAGGACTCCCATGTGAGCCAGGCTTCTCCTTAAATAAGTCTCTCTCAAATATGGTTGATGAACCCCAAAACCTACCAGACCCCCAAGCCAGTGTACCCCAAATTTTCCATTTCTCTACAGGTACAAAGGGATGACTCCAGGGGGCACCTGTGGCCAAACCCAGCATTTTCTCAAATGTGAACCCCAAAACTAAATTAGGACCCCAAATACATCTTCTGATGCTCTAACTCCATGACCCCCAGCCCCAGATTAGGCCTGCCGAACCGCTCCCCACAAACTCATACCCTCCCCCAGTTTAGAGCCCCCCCCCCCCCCACATCATGCTTACCTTGGTTGTCACTATACAGAGACAGTCCATGTTGGGGGGCCTGGCCGCCGCGGCGGGTAGGGGGCTCTGACTTCATCGGAGTTTCGTTCCTCTCCTCCGTGGGTTCTCACCCCTCCCCCCTCCGCACCCCACTTTTGCAGGGGTGGCCAGGATGGGGGGAGGGGTGAGAGGGGAAAGAAGGGGTTGGAGAAGGGAAGGGTAGGGCCCGCAAGGGAGGGAGGGAAAGGGGGTCCTAAAAGGGAGTCCCCAATGGAAGGGGGGCTTGGGGAGCACACCCCGGTCTTCAGGAGGGCGGGGGACGGGGGCTAACATCCCCGGGAGTCGGGGGGCTGGGCTTGACTAAGTGGGGGAAGGGAGCTGGATT